AGCCAAGCTGACACATGGTTAACCATCATAAGTGAATTCCAATTTGAACTAACTTCTGACTGCTCGAGAATATGTTAGACGTGTGAGTCTGTGATGTTTTTCACTTAGGATGACTGAAGTGTTAACTTCCTTTAGAGGTTCAGTCTCTGAATAGTATATTTGCAATACACTTTAGCTATTCTACTCACTAGTTTTGCTTCATTTAGGTTGGGTTATGAGATGTTTCTGAACGATTGTATGGCAGCAGAAATAAAGCTAACTAAAACAAGGTAGACAGATCTGTGAAACAGCACTGGATTCACTGCTGCAATGTAGCATTTTCGATTTTGCTCCTAGTTAAAGTTGACTTACTCCCCATGTGTCTACTGTTCTGCAGTGAAGGTGCCCAGTGATGAGACAGCTTCAATGTACCACAGTCCACAGTTCCACCGCTGAGGTCTCATGCAGAGAGTAAGTTATGCAAATGACTTCAGGGTAACCTCCACCCCATGCGAGTCCACATTCTCAATAAACTATGAGCTAGGCATGTGAGAATATTAATAAATGTGATCTACGGCTCCTGACATTTTAACTGATCTTTAATATGACATTGTTGCTGTTCCTAAATGTATCAATACTTTGTTCCTGATAAATTGTAGGAAAGCTAGTAAACACTTTTCAGATTTAGGACTATCACTTTAACAAAAGGTTATTCCAATGGCGCTGCTAAATTAGAAAATTATATACCACCTAAAAAGATACTGAAAATGTCCCTTTACCCCACTGCAAAGTGGAGGAAGGGAAGAGTGCACAGGATATGTCATGAAGGCAACTCCTATCATAATGCTAGGTATGTGGAAGATGGCACGGCTCTACCCTTGAGCTGGAGTCACAAACTGAAAGGGTACTAGGAATCATTTAGCCCAGTGGCTTTCCAATTTTTTTTTTTTTTTTTTTTTTTGGTAGCACAACATCTGTTAATTCCTTGAAATGGTTTAATTTAAAAAAGACTTGAGTCCTTTCACATCATAAAATGTGGGCTAAAGTTTTAGGCTGCAGATAAATTCTTTACTTAAGCAATAATGATTCAACATAAACATTAATGGCATTTTTAAAACCTTTCAAATTCTGACTTGCAAACCCAACAAAAACAAAAGCTGCTCTTATGCTGCTCCCTTGTGTTTCCTTGGAGCCCCTTTTAGAAGCTATCAATATTGGTCTACCACTCATTTTACAAATTTAATAACATTTTGTGCAAGTACTAGGTACCTAGCATTGTACTAGGCTTAGGAAAAATATCAGGCTAAAGTAGGAGTATCCTCTGGTCCCTGGCTTATGGGGGAGACAGATGATTACAACACAACATAGTGGATTCAGTGAAATGCCAGGACCTTTCATATTATGGGGGCCTGGAATCACTGTGAGCCTGGGTCTCTGAAACTGAGCAAATTTCCCAGAGGGCAGTTAACTTGGGAAGGTGTGGGGAAGAGTGTAATCCAGACTGAAGAATGGAGTGGGTTAGTAGCTAGGGGTACATTATGGAAGGTGCGAGTTGTTTTATGCAGCAGATAATACAGTGGGAAATGAGAAGAGGGCCTACACCTTGTACTGAGTCTTCAGGAAATAGGGAGCCACTCAAGCAAGGCCTTTAGGTAGGTCAGTGAGGTCAAATTTATGCTTGCGATCGCCAACAGGGACTATGAATTTGATGACAAGCAGCAGGGTGACAGGGACCTACCTGTAGCTCTCTGACAAGAGTGTCAAGAGCAGGGGCCAATTTGGAGGTAACATTATGCTTCATTTTGGGGTTCCAGGTAGAGATAGAGGTCCAGCATGACTGGATGGAGAGCTCACGTCTGAAGCCTTGGAGAACATGTGATGATCCTGTAAAATGGAGGGGGAATGGAGAGAGATGTAGGAAAAGGTTAACTTTGCTTTACTCTTGACTTCTGATTATTTTCTTAATACTTTTCTGTACACTGAACATGTATTACTTTATAACTAGGCAAAAGCATATATTTTTTTTAAATTCTGTTGATTTATCTTCCAGACTTTGCTTTCCCCCCGTTTTCTTTAAAACAAATTGGTACCATATCCTATATGGAATTTCCTGCACTTTCACTAAAAATTATACAATATTTTGCCATGTATAAATGTGCTCTTGTATATAATGCGCACTCACGTTTTTGGCCCAAACTTTCAGGGGGGAAAAAAATCATGTTTTAATTTTTTAATTCAGTGATTTATATTTAGAAACAAAGCCGATTATCGTATTCCAGAGCATTATTTTGCATACAGATATCATTCTTCTTTCTAGATTAAGCTTTTAATGTGTAAGCATAAAAACATTTATATAGATATGAATTAGTACTGCCTATGTACAATGTGCATCCTTTTTTCCCTCAAAAATGTGGGCAAAACAGTGTGCATTATACACAGCAAAATATGGTATTTGGGAACAACACCACATAGCCATTAAAATCATGTTTTCAAAAGAAATACGCCAATATTTACCAGTCTTCTTTAAGCAAACTTCATGATTTGGTATAGTTGGGTCCTATGCAGATACAGCAAGATAGAAAAAAACCTCTGGAGATTAAACCAGTGTTCATAGCACTTTGAGTGCTCTCTTGAGTGGAGTAATCATAGGCTACCCAACGTTCTGTCTCTAGTGATGGTAGAACAAATGTAGCAAAGCTGAAATCTAGCCCTGGGTCTCAAAGTCTGACTCACAGGAGTGTGGAGAGGAGAGGAGAGACAGGCTTTTCTGGCATTGCCTGGGGACGATGAGTCTTCCCTAAAATCAGGAAAGAAAGATTGGGTGGTCTTCATTTGAACTTTCTTGCCACAACAAATACATCATAATCTGTGATTATTATCACCTACAAAATTGATAGCTGACTTCAATGAAACATATATACTCAAGAGCTATCTTGGGAGGATTTGCTTTAAATTCATTAAAGAAAAAAGATCCCATCACTACAGTGTTCTATGACTCGTATTTCCACTCTGCTCAAAGCAACTTAAAAATTTTCTAAGTCCTTTATTGTGGCATTGCCAGTTTATTCTGACCCATAATGGCCCTGTAAGATTATACACTGTTACCATAACAATGGCATATATTTCCAGCAATTTGTTTTACTTTTCAGTTACCAAGAGGGAAACGGAATACTTGGATACGAAGTCTGATTCAATGTCAAATTTACTGGAGAACCATTTTTCTCCAGTACTGGTTCAATAAATTAATCTTAGTTTTCTAGGTTTGCAGTAGAGGTAGGTATCATGTCAGATTATGCAGATTTATAAAAAGGCACGTAGAATTACTGTCAGGAAAAAAAGAGCAGCCTTAGAATATGTCAAGGTTTTAAAAACTTGATCTGTATCTGAATGGGTTCATTTCCTTGAAGAGAGAAACTGTCTAGTACAACACAGGATTTTATTTGGGAAATATGCCAACTTGGAGATGCTATCAAAATGTAAAAATTTGAATAAAAGTTTATTTTCAGTAATACTAGATTTTTATGTGAAACTGACTTTTGACTCAAAGTAAGTTTAGGGAATGATTACAAAAATAATTTAGGGAATAATTACAAAATGAAATTAACAGGGAGCCAAATCAAAATTATCCAAGAGTAAGTTCCATTTCCATTTCTCTTTCACATGGATGACAGAGATGCACAATATGAAAGATTAGTGTGGTGTTTCTCAAACATGCCTGATCCTAAGAATTACCCAAGGCACTCCCCACAGAGTTTCTGAGATCTGTTCTCTTTCGATTCTAGCTCAGTGGGTGGTAGGTTTGGATTGGGGACTAAGGTTTTATATTTTTAGCTCCCCAAGTCATTCAGATAATCAGGCAGGAAGTAGTGGCGAAGGGGGAAAACAATAGCAACACCTGCCCAGCTCCATGCCCTTACTCCGCACCTGCCCAACATACTGCCTGAGAACCAGAAACACTCAACTGAAAATGAGGAGTTGTCTATAGAACACGGTTTATTTCAAGTCCAAAACACAAAATTACTTTTTTCTTAACATACTGTATAATTTTTACTGCATATTTAGAGTTTCTGTATTCACAAGTTTATTTCTGAACTTTAGGCTCAAATGATTCATATATATATATATATATCAGTTTAATACAGAGGACATGTACTTTAACAAATTTGTTTAGAAAATATTTTACATAAAAACACACAAAGCATTTACTAATACTCTTGTCTTTACAACCAGTCTTCAGCTAAGATTTGGCTGAAATTCATCACTTTGTACAAAATATTCCGAGACTGAATATAATAGGATGTAGTACAGCAAGTCCTCACATAACATCGTTGATAGGTTCTACCACTTTAAATGACATATAATGAAACCAATTTTTACCACAGGCTAACATATAAACAAGAGTGAAGCTCCTACATCTCCTTTATCATGAGATGACATTAAATGTTATTTGACGACCTGCTGTATTTTACATACTTTAGCTTATTATTGCAGTTACAAGTTCCCCTTTCTTTGATGGCTTTTGCATGAATTCTACTCATAAAGCAGAGACTTGACTTTAACTGATGACTTACAAATAAAATGTCTTTTTTGGTGTAACTTGTCCCCGACTAAGAACCAAACAGTCATGATGAAATCGGGCAACTGACACGTTTTTGTTTTCCAACTAACAATAGGTTTTAATACCTGTTGGTATAACAGCCTTTACTGTTTTGAGTCCAGTAACTACCACCTGGGGTGCTATTACTTCTAGAATAATCAGTTGGCATCAAAATATGAAGTAAAAATATGTACATTTTTATATATCGATTCTTACCTGAATAATCTCAGATCTCTTACGAGTGTCCCACAAAGTGGAATTTCTTCCTAGTTACAGTGACTGTGGTACAATGTGTACAGCTTGGTTAACCAGTGCCTGCTTTTTCAGTTCCGAGACTCTTCCTTATCTGGAATCAAGTGCTCAGTCTTGACTGCCACGTCATCATGCCCTGGCGTACAGTCCGTACAGAAAGTCCAACTCAAGCTTATTTTGGTTTATTATACATGCTTTATTAAAACGGTACTGGTATGTACAGTATCTGCAGAGTCCCTTCCAAAGCGCTCTCATACATTCACGCACACCCATACAACAGTCACGCCACGGCCCCATGCACCCACACCAGTGAGCTGTGAGGGTCAGAATCCTAAAATTAGGCAGCTGTTGGGGGATGGAGTTGTCGATTTGGTTTTCAATTTTTTGAAAAGAGGAAAGCATGGGGGAATTGCATTTGGCCATTACAATGCTAATTGAGTTTGTGTGTATTAACATGTGGCAGTAACACTGAATGTTCCTTTTACATTCTATATACACAGAATGACATCAAGGTTTATGGTTAACAGAATATTCCAACTTCGGTCTCAATGCTGCTTGTAGTGACTTCTGAATTCATACATGGGCTTTCCCTAAAAATAATTCAAGTCTATGTAAGTGAAATAAGGCACAATTAATATTGATTTGATCTAGTGGAAGGAACAGGACGGAAACTATTGCAAATGATCTTACTATTGGGGTTACTTATTAAATCCACTTGAAATCCCGTCTCCTAGTATCCAAAGATTTCTTTAGAAATAAAGGGGTTTTTCCCCCCTTTCCCTGATAAAACCCAACAAGAAAAGTTTTGGGATTCACTCTGTAATGTTTCAGTAGCCTAAACTACTCAAATGGATGCACACCCTGCCTCTTCTGCCCAGATTTCCTCCTTCCCCCAATACTAGAACAAAACACAGCACAGGAAACGGGAATCCCTTGCTGTTTCTGAGATTTGTACACTTAAGTAGCAAACACATCTGGTTGTCTTTGATTTTTTTTTTCCTAAAAGAAAAAGTAACCTAGTAACTTTCTTGCTCTTTAAAAAAAAAATAATCCCTGTCTCCTTTTCAGGATCATGAAGCCCCAACCAGACATTACAAACAACTGCAACAAATGAGTTTGGCAGCATAAATAATGTCTAGTATTCAAATCTTCTTAGACTCATTTAGTTTGTACACAATCTGTTGAATGTTTTTTGCAGCAGGTGAACCAAACCCAAAGACGCTGGACATTCTGTGAAAAGGAGTAAGAATTGCAGTTCTGAAGGCCCCTGACTTTGGTTGTTTACAAAGTTCAATCCTGTTTATTGTGATCCTTCGTATCTTCTTCATCTGTATATTCTGACGGTTCTTCTCCTGGTTTTAGCAGTCTGCCTACATAATCATATTTTTCTGAAAGACACATCAAAAGAAAATCAGTAGTGATCAAGTTTGTTTCACTCTTCTACTATACAGCAGGGAAGGCATTTGCCTCTCCTGGAATCACACAGAATAAACTAAATTTTTCCTACTGCTCACCTTGGCTGGTCTTTGTATTCATGTAAAGCTTGAACAAAAGAAAACAAGATTAGGGAACTTACAAAGCTTGGGAATTGTGCTTTGCAAGAGACTGTTCCAGACTACCACTTATTAATCAAGGATGCAGCATCAGAATCTCTTAGAATTTTTAAAAATATATGAATGTCCGGGACCCACCTCAGAGCTCCGTATCCCAGGCTCTTGGGTTAGGTTTGGAGACGTAATCTGAAACTGGTCTTTGTTGTGCACTGTGAGTCTCTGAATAGTTCCTTAAATCTTAATAGCCCAAAGTATTACAATTAAAGAAACAAGTTGGCAACACAGAGCACTTTTAAGTTATTTAAAATCTATAAGTATATTGAACTTGATATAGAATGGAGATGAAATAAAATGTCCTATTCTTTCCTCTATCACATTCTCTCCTTAGATCTGTTCCACTGCTTGGTTTCATGTCAGCAGGTGTTTAATGTAGAAGATTCTTATTTCCATGTTGATACACCTTCAGTTGTTTCTTGGTCAGGAATGTGAACCGAGGTTAACTGAATTAACTGACAGACCAAGAGAAGATAGGACTGCTTTATCCTGTAGAACCCAGCACAAGCAAAAAGAAGCCAGAAGGGGTCCATTAGGTCACCCAGGTCCAGAGTATCTCACAGGTGGTAATAACTGATGTCATGAGGGTGTAATACAGAGAAATGACATTTTTTCCTTACAGTTCAAAGGTAAGACAATCATTTAGAGTGAGTTATAATTAGAGTATCACATTAGTAGTAATCAGTTCAGTTATAAATATAAACCTGTAATTTTAAAAAACTGTACCTTAATAAACAAGCCTTATACCAGTAAAGTGACATTTTTTGTTAGACTTATAGTTTGTAACAAGTCCATTTTTAAATACAGATTTTATAAATCCTATGTAACAATTATATTATATCAAATAATGATGGTGATGAAAACATACGACATCCTTAGGCTCAGAAAGAATGTGAAACAGCATTCTTTTTTTTTTTTTTTTGGCCATAAATTTAGTATTTCCAAAGAACCCAACAAAATGAAGGTACCTTTAAATTGCATTTCCCACTCTCGAACACTCTCCATTTGTACGGCATTCAAATCTGAGAGATCATCATATTCATCTCTAAGTGCATCTTTATCTAGGCAAAATGTCGCCAGTCCTCTGGAGGCATCCCTACCAGCAAATATTCCATATGGACCCGCTGGAGGGAAAAAAGAAATTAATTTAGATTACCTAACGATATTCTAGACTGTCTCAAAGGAAAAAGTAAAATAAAAGAAACCTCATAATGACTCGTATATGGTACACAGCCTTAATTTCAAAACAAGCACAGATACTAGATGGGAGAATGAGAAAAAATTTCTTGGAAATCTGCTTTTTGACCAAAGTAAAACTTTTCACTGATAATCTGACCCTTAAATTTCAATTATTTCAGATACCCCAAGGCTTGTATTCAAAGATGAAGACTTCGAGGTATTAGGGAGAATAGGAAATTTGAGCCATTAGCTTTGGAAGCCAGTTTGCTTCCGAGTGATGCTTTACTGATTGCTGTTAATTAATTGTGGCATATAAAGATTAACTGACAGAACGTCCACTGGGTAAGTACTATACAAAGACACAAGTGAACTGTGGGTCTAAAACCCTTTTTTCCTCCTGTCCAGTGCAGGCTGCAATTCTGTGAGGCAGAGACGGAGTCCATCTTTGTACTCCCAGTGACTGCTTCAGTGCCCGGCCCAGGTGATGTTCAACACATCTTTGCTGAATAAATGGTTTCCTCAGAAGTACATCCCATTTTCAAAATAAGAATCACCTGCTGACTATAATATGCTCACAATTATCTACATAAACTAAGGAAAGTCATTAAAGAATGTAATGGCTTTCATTTGTCACTACTTTTGGGAATCAGCATGGCTATAAAGAACAGTCCTCACCAACATGAAATCATCATCCTTTTGTCCAAGGAACTGGGAAGCACCCTCTCGGGGAAGGAATGGCGGTCCCGGCGCTGCCCGCGAGCCCTGCCCCAAGTCTGACCCTGAGAGCGCCACCGCCCCTCCCGGCTGCGCCGGCTCCGCAATGCCCCGCACAGTGCCTGTGCCTGTGAGGTGGGGGCATAACCAGTTTCTTCCACACCAATTAGCTGCCGTTCCAAACAAAGAGAAACTATGTTTTGACCCTTTATTTTAAACAGATTCATTTATGGTAACCAAAATCTCCATCTAAATAGAGGTTAAAAAGACACTTCAGTTGAAAACAAATACTAATAACTATTATTGAAACAACCTAATTTTCTATATCAAGAAATTGGTTAAAAAAATTATAGCATGTTAATTTAATGGAATAGTATACAGCATCAAAGAGAATGAGGTGACTATATGTACAGACGTAGAAAGACGTCTATGATGTATTTACTGGAAAAAGCAATTCAGAAGAGCGTGTGCACACACACACGTACATACATCTATGTATATATGTATAATGTACATATATGATGATTCACTTTGAGTTAAAGAATATACACGTATGCACATTTTACACTCTGTATATACATGAAAAACACCAGGAAGAATACAGATCAAACACTTAACAGTGGCAAGGCTTCCGGGGAATGGAGGGGAACATTTACTTCATATAACTGGTAAAGTCTGGCTATTGAAAAAACTACTTTTATAATAACCTTCTAAGTGTTCATTCTGTCTTCATCTTAGGCTGCAGAACATGGAGATTTTTCTGTTTAAAATGTTGGTTTAAGAATTACGTGCTCATAAATAATATTTCCAAAATAAATAATTTTTAAAAAGAAAAAATATTTTTCATGAGTCTGAAAGTTACCCATACATGACAGGTAATTAAAAGAAAATAATTTTAAAACCGTAATTATTGGCTCAATTGAGCAACAGAGTGGTCAGTGAGAGAGCTACTGTCGAACTAATGAGAAGTAAACAAGTAGAAAAAAACGGAAATTCCTTGATTTTTAAGTTAGCAAAATGATTATACCCATATTCACATTTGAAACATTTAGGGAATTAAAGGTTACAGGTCAAAAAGCATTTGTACCCTTGAGAGTAGAATTCAACATTTTAAATAGATAAAAATCTAAAGAGTTATGAACCTTAATTTGAATTATAGAAAGCACTGCACCGTAAAGTGCATCGAATGTAAGAAACTAATTGTCTGAAAAGTTTCCTGCATGCAACCAGAAGTGTCACTAACAATAAATTTTAAAAGCATTATTAGGTATTGGTACATTAATAAATAAAGGTGGTATTTCCAGTAAAGTACTGTATTTTTTATCCTGCTTTTCCCATCCTCAAGTTTTCCATATTGCTACTTAATATTAGGTGACTATCACAGTTGTCATTTAATGGTTCTATGTTTCCTACTGAATTTATCTAATCATTCTATTAAATCAAAATGGAAGAGAATTAACAAAAAAAGCTATAGACACCAACGGTGTTTCTTAGCATTTTGTAGTATTTATCACCCTGGCCTACAATTCAGCCTACTTTGAGTACTTCAGAGTATAAATCATAAAATACATCTGAATGGTAAAGAGGAGGAAAAAAAAAAAAAAGATGAGCATTATAACAGTAGCAATCAGAAACCCCCCATCTTTGAAGATACTAATATATACCAATATCTTCTCTAGTAAAATTCTCTGCCAGCTTCCCTAAGGAAGCCTCAGCAATGAATGAATATAA